ATAACATTTAAAACCACCGTCCAATACCATTAAAAGGATCAAAATCGCCACTAGATTCTTCTGTTCTTTAATTTAAATTAGTTTGAATTTTTAGGTGGTCCGTTTCTCTCTAAATAATAAAATATTCTTACCAGCTGGAAACACTTTCTCTTTCTTTGGGGCTGCCTGCAGTTTCAATTAGCCTTGTGGCTAATCCGGAAGTCACTGGCAAAGGAGGTTTTTCCAGGGTCTCCAAAGACTTTGTGAACGTCTCTGGGACCACTGGATCTCCCCCTACCTTTCACTGTCTCTTCGGGACAGCTTGGGTCCAAAAAGGAACCGTCCAGATGCTTCGGAATAGAAGGAGATTCAGGGAGAGCCTGAAAGTCCGTCTTCTCACTGCTAAGCCCCGCCTTCTTCCCCTGTACTTCTTGTTTCTGAAGACTCAGTCTCAATCCTATATCTTTCTTTGGAGAACAATACATTTAATCAGCCTTTTATATGTCACTTTCCTCTTTGAAGGATGCTGCTTTCAAATGGGTTGCAGATCCTTAATAAAAATATGGCAGATGTCAGCTAATGCACCTATAGCAGAAGGACTATTTTCAACTTTTTTAATATCTTAGGTTTTTGGGACACTTCTTAGTACAGTTCCGTAAAAATTTATTTTTTTCTACATCGATTACTAGTTTTTTTTTAATTTCCTTGGCTGACTTCCTTGTCAGTGAAGGTAATTGTAAAAAGTTGTAAAAACAATTTGTGAAGCGTACACTATCTTGGGATCTGTCTCTTTATGAAACAGGTATGGCTAGTGGGACTTCTTGGCTGAACTGTGAGATTAAGAAAATGGTCCCTGCCATCATCTATTGGATTTAAATCATTATTTTTATTGGTATGCTAATTAAATTTTGCAAGTTTGATCTCCTGCAGTAGTGATGCCATTATTAGCTTTCATGTAAATAAACTGTTTTATATTTCAATATATTACTCTGAATTCTTTGTTACTAATAAAATGTAGAATAATTTAATGGAACTGTCAGGATGTTTGTAAAAAAGAGAAGCATAAAAGCTAAACCACCATTATTATTTTTTCTTCTGCTTGTTCTTTCTCTTTCAAATTTCACACCCTCTGGTTCCACTGCAGAATTGTCCTGAGAATGTAGGAAAAAATTCGTCACACAACAACGATGAGGATGAGAACGAAAATGAGAAAGAACTCCAAGTTGAAGCTCTCCTCTGTGCCTTTGAAAGTTTAGGCAAAGCCTGGCCTAAAAACTCAGAAACACAGTGTAGGTCTAATTCCAGGAATTTGAACTATTTTATCTTTAGCTTTTGCAAGAGCTCATAGGAGAGGAAGGAAATAATGTATTAGTTGTTGGTTTTGTTGCAGTTCTTTTGCTTTGTATTTTTTAAGGTTACCTTTCTTAATGTCTTATGATTTAACCTAAATATAAGGATTATAATAAGTGGGGTGAGCATTTTTTAAAAGTTCAGAAAGGAAGCGGAAAAAATGGAACGATTACAATCTGAATATTTCAAGGGAGAAGCCAAATTTTGTCATTTGTTTTTAGGTTCCTGTCTTTGTTCCTGATCTTTAGTTTTCATTGAAGCTATATTTATTTAAGCTACTGGGAACAGTAAATCTGCTTGGAATAGAATATGAAGATTCATTTGGGAGATTGGTGTCCAGAACATAGATGGGTGGCAAGGATACGGGACTGAGAAAATGGAAGTCATAGGCGACAACCAGAATGTGTTCTAACCTGGCTCCCAAACACGACAAACGCTCTGTAGTTAAATAAATGTTCCCTTTATTAGGAGCACCAGCAGTCCTGGCAAAAAGTCTCTCTCTCACACACAGACACCGTTCATGTCTGTGAGGGAGATGACTAGTTGTCTGCCACACCTATTCATCTCCGCCCTCTCCCTTTTATCCCCAGAGCTAGGATGGGACTTGCTAGCAGTGGTGGCTCTTCCATCCCAAGGATCAGCCCTTAGAACCGTTCTTTTCTGCTTTTGCGCATCTGCGCATCAGGCACTGGTCCCAGCTGTTCCTCCTATTCCTCATCAGCCACTTCCAGACCTTGGGGCTGTTGACACTCCATCTGAGAGCTTATGGGCAGACGCCTCTGCGTCTTTCTCTATCTCTGACAGCTCCAATCCCTCTTCCCCCTCAGGTTGCCTTGAGCCTGGCCCTGACTCCCACGCCTCCTCCTCATCTGATTCGGCTGCTGGAGGAGCCGTCGACAGGACATAACAGAATGCATGGCAGTACTGACAGAAAAGTCAGTCTGGCTCCTGCCTCCTTAAACAACCCAAGTGCCATTATCAGATCTTCTAAGGCTCTCTGTAACTGAGCACTAACGGTTATTGGGATACAGATTGTCTATATTTTGGTCTCTTTTTTTTTAAAGGCTGCTATCGACAAGAGCTATGCAGATTAATGTGTGAGCGTCTGAGACTTAGTACATGGAAAGTACAGCTCGGCGTTCTCCAAGCCATGAAGGCTTTTTACCAAGGGTAAGATTTCTGCGGGTGCTGGAACTCCTGCTTCTGTTCTTGTTCATTCACTCCTCCCTCACAGTAACATGTGGAGATGAACAGATTCAAAATCCTTTGCCTGAGCTTTGTGGATTTCATTGCCTCTTCTCCCTACCTACTTCCACTGACTGGCATGGGGAAACTGTCATGTTTTAAGTCAGAGATGTATGTAGAATTGAAAGTTCAAGCTCCACAAGGCTCACCCAATAACTGAGTGTATAGCATCTTCGGTATTTACAATTGCCACACGAAAGACCTCTGATGATGACTACAGCTCACTCAGGTGGAATTTTAAGATAGTAAAGGCCCGTGTTCTTTGGGGAAAAAATAATGCTTATATTCTTCAATTTGATAGGTTGTTATTATTTGAAGCAGAACACTCTGACCCCGAGGCTTTGGCAAGAATATTGTTGGAAACCTGTTCCTCCATCACTCATTCACTAGGTAAATCTCTTTTCAATCCTGTGCTTGCTTTGTCCACTTATTTTTGTTTGAAACCTAAATGGAACTAAATCAAATCTTCCAAAGATTCATTGTGACAGCCAACTGATCAAGAATTATGATTGCTTCTCTGGCCAACAGAGCAGGATTTGCATATATTCATATCATATCTTTAAGATGTTCTCTTATTTGGATGTTCTGCTCAATGGATTAGATGTAAGAAAGTTTGGAATTTCATCATTCTGCTTCTTCCCAACTTTTTAACAGAGAGAGAAAGATTGTCCCTATTTCAGGCACACTAGATAGACCAAGCCATGAAATCAACTATCCTATAACTTATTTTTATTGAATTTTTATTGATTTTGCAATAGCTCTTCCTCCTCCTTATAGTTCAGGATGAGGATGGTCTTTTCTGGGCCACTTCCAAACAAACCTGGATGCTCTTGGCTTAAAAATTGATTTAACCTTCTTGCCTTGGCCATGGAGCCTGCACATCCCTGTCAAGGTCATAATCCTTGCTATCCACATACAGGTAATCGTTAGCTTACAACAGTTCATTTAGTGACCATTCAAAGTTACAACAGCACTAAAAATGTGATTTATGACTGTGTTTCACACTGATAACCATTGCAGTGTACAATGGTCACGTGATCAAAATTCAGACGCTTGGCAACTGATTCATATTTATGACGGTTGCAGTGTGATCAACTTTTGCAAACTTCTCACTAGAAAGATCAATGGGGAAGTCATTTCACTTAACAATTGTGGCATGAAAGGTTGTAAAAGGGACCAAAATTCATTTAACTATGTTGCTTATCAACATAAAGTTTGGGCTCAGTTGTGGTCCTAAGTCGAGTATTACCTGCATATGTAGAAGATCAGACCAAGAGCTATTTGTCCATGGCACAGAATGAAGAGGTAGGTCCATATGATTTAAGGTTCTGTCTGCAGTCTGTATACTGCAGGTATAAAGAGAACAAATGGGGCGCAGAGGCTCAGTGGTTAAGACATTGAGCTTGTCGATCAAAAAGTCGGCAGTTCACCGGTTCAAATCCCTAGCGCTGCATAACAAAGTGAGCTCCTGTTACTTGTCCCAGCTTCTGCCAACCTAGCAATTCGAAAGCACGTAAAAATGCAAGTAGAAAAATAGGAACCACTTTGGTGGGAAGGTAACAGTGTTCCATGCACCTTCAGCATTTAGTCATGCCGGCCACATGACAACAGAGACATCTTTGGACAACACTGGCTCTTTGGTTCTCCTGTGTGCTGCTTGGGGAATCCAATCATGGGTTAACTTTGTCCATTAGCCTAGAGACTGAGTATGTAAATTTTGACCATGCCTCTGACTGGACGGGTCAGTTTTGTACAAAGTCAGCCGTTGAAAGATGTATGTCAATGTCACTTATGGTTGTAGCCAAAACAGGTATTAAAAGTCATGTCCAGAGTAGTCCAGTCGGGAAAAAAGGCAAGGTTAGTCATTGAGTCAGAGTCAAGGAGGAGCCCCAGCCAGCCGAAACTGCGGGCGGGTTTGGATTCCCCTCGCAGCACACATAGAAGGACCGTTCAGGTAAGTCAACGGTCACTTTGAAACAGAGATGAGCACCATCCCCTAGAGTCGGGAACAATTAGCACATATGTACGAGGGGAATGTTTACCTTTTATAAAGAGAACATAAAAAAAACTTTAATAATTCAGAGGGCTGTATGTATCTGCTATCCTTTTTTATATTAGGATAAAGATAGATAATTTGAGAACTCAGGGCTTCATGCAACCTACAAAAGACTTGGGTACAGCCCTTAGGGCAATGTTGACAAATCGAGTGCTGAAACAGGAGCACGTGGGCGCGGAGGAGCACCGTAAACCAGAAGAGCAGCTCCCTGACATGCATGTGCAGGAGTGCCGGAAACCAAAAGAGCAGTTCTGAGGTTCTGGTTTCCAGCATGTGCATGTGCGCCAATCACTTAGTCTTCCAGTTTCTGGCACACGTGCATACAAAGTCCAGCTGGTTGGCGCAAATGCATGCCAGAACCAGGAAGAGCAACAGGCAATGGCTGGCATGCCTGGAGAGATGGCTCTGCATGGCATTTCTGGCACACGTGCCATAGGTTTGCCATCATGGCCTTAGAGATTTTAAAAACTGTACTTATTTATCATTAATTTGACAAAATGAGAATTATCGAGAATAAACAAAGACAGTAAATTACATGAATTATTTTACATTAAATTGTATTACCTGTAAATTATAAATTAAGTCAGATTTAATTTTTGTCTTAGGTACCACCAGTTATTCTTTAATGGATACTTCCCAATACATTATGAAAATACACAGAATAACAGACCAGAAAGATCATCCATGTTGAATTAACTTTAGGTGAATAATGTATAAACCAGTTGCTGGTAATCATCTAGACATGCAACAGTTACTTACCGTTGCAAGTTCATTTCCAACACAAATCAATTAATTTGTTCAAATAACACTATTGTTTGATGAATAATTTAACAATATTACTTAATAATAATATGGTCTATTATTAAATCCATGCTAAAATTGGGGTTAGGAAAAAGTAAAAATTGAGATACTGCATACCACTGTCAAAGTTGTATAAATTCTTCATGCTAGTAATTCAGGCACAAAATTATATTATTATACACATAATTTGTATTCACCATTTTAATTGTAAATCTTATTTCATTAGAGAATAAAAGTTATACTTCCATAAGGACTGAAGCTTTGTCTGTAATAGAGGTGCTGCTCACCAAGCTGGAAGGTAAGAATTACAGTTCTGAAAATTAAGATGATTCCTTAAATCTGAAGACTGAAGGACAGGATTGTATCCCATTTTGCTTTAAAGAACAGTTTTGGCCAACCTGATTCCTGCTTTGTTTTTAAGTTTTTAATTATTGTAGTTTTTAACTTGAAGTTGTAATTTCATAAAATAGCTGAATTTGTCCTTCAACAAAGGTTATAGAACAATTTTATAAAATGCTACTATTTTCATCATTATTAGGCAGTCATGTTGCATTATTCAGAGAGGATCTTTCATCAATTGAAATTTGATGGTGGGATAGGATACTTAGATCAACTGTGTTTTTACCACTATCAAGCGATACTAGCATGTTAATTGTATTGTAATTGTAATTGTATTAAAATTGTATTTTAATTATCAGAACCCATTTTAAGAGCTAATTTTAGCTGAAAATGTAAGTAGAAAGGTTAATGGCGATATCCTTCTTTTTTCTCTTTTCTTGCATAGAATCTAAACAGTGGGAAAGCCTGAACACTGAAAGTAGAGAAGTCCTCATTGGCTCTTTAACAGCACTGACTTTGGATAGTAGGCCTGAACTACAAGAAAAAGCATCTTTATTAAAGAAAACTTTAGAAAACCTTGATTGAATTGAATACCAATCAAGTGCCACGTGAAACAAAGCAAGCAAAAAAAAAAAGTGCAATGAGCTCCGTATTACCTAGAGGAAAAGTAAAGATGATTTTTGTAGCATGCATAAATTCCCTGGCTGAAATAAAAAACACCTTGATTCTCTTCCCCATTATTTCCTTTTTTTTTCCTTAAAAGAAACAGTAATAACCTATGAAGCAGTTTAATTAAAATGCAAGCCTTGAAAGTATTAAGCGAAAAATATCCAAGCTACATAAGGACATTTTTGGAAATTGTTTGTTTGTGAAGAGACCCTTGTTTTATGACTTAAGACTTGCGGAATCTTTAGTTTACACAAAAATGGCCCTTATTATATAAATCTAATGAATGAAAATCATAGCAAAGCACTAGAGAGCAAACTTTTTGTGGATTTCATGTGGGCCAACTTTTAGTATTGTGTCATGATGGCAGTGTTATAATTGGTATCATTACTAATGATAGTACAAAAGAACAAAGTTGCCAGAAATATTAGAGAGCAGCAAAGAGTAAGAGTTTTGTGTATCTTTTTATTGTAACTAGTGAGTATCTAGATTTTTTAGCCCAAACCTCATAGCCCTACCAATAAGTTAAAAGCATGGGTGTCCAACCTTTTTGAAATTGAAATTGTCTTGGGCCACATATAAAATATAATATAGTTAATGTATATAAATAACAAATTTCCTTAAGTTTAAGATCTCATGGGGCCACATTATTAGGTGTGCAGGGCTGCATATAGCCCATGGGCCGTGGGTTGGACAGGACTCCCTTAAGGGGACTTAGTTTGCCTCTTGTTTTGGAATGCCACTAGTCAGTGTTGGTTGCTTTGGACCATAAAATATCACTTCATCCCATATAAACAGAGTATATAAGATTTGGAAAAACCTATGCCTTCCTGCATTAAAACATGAGAGTTCTCTTGGATAAAAATGCACACAAGAAAGCACTTTAATTGTCTGGATATAAGGGTGTATAGAGCAGGTTTTTAAGACCTTACATAAGGTATGTTTTTTTTAAAAAGAAATTCTACATTTTCCATGCAAGAATTCATAGTTAAATTAGCCTTCTCACAACAGTGACCACTTACTTATTTTGGGAAATATTATTAAATAAAAAAGGATTGTGCTGCTAAAACATTATTAACCTCGGCCTCAGCCATTTGCATCTTCTTTCTAGAAAGTACTTTTGATTTTCACCATAAGCTTTGACATTGCATACATCAGAGTACAAATGTTTAATCAAATCTGTTCTTGCAATTGTCTAAAAAACAGCATCTGCTCCAATTTTAATAAAGATTTCTTAGTGAAATTGTTAATTTGGTTAACATCACAGTTTTCTGCTAGGTTTGTAGAGTTATGTTAAAAAGATAAGCGAAAGTATTATATAAGACTCAATATATTACTTTGTGGTAGATTTTTCATGCTAAGTAAATTGTGGTCTACCTCTAGGTAGGACGTCTTGATTTCTATATGGAAATTCTTACATATTCTGTGTAGGAATTTTGAAACATGCAGAACTGACCTCTGAAGAAATCTTATATACTTGGGGTCTACCCCTGTAGAGATTGTGAGATTGGGCTAGACCATCAGTGACTTTTGAAGCTACCCCAGGATCCTTCAGATGAGTTAGTTTATTAACCAATATCACTATGGGATGTTTTTTTTATTCTCAAAATTTTATACAGATGTAGAACATAATTGCTATAACTTCATAATTGTCTTAGATTTGTACCCTAATACCCCATATCTGAACTTGGAATGATTTTTCCAGTAAAATAAATAAATTCTTTCTTTTGGGAGGGAATGCTTTCGTGCTCTATGATTATATTATAGATGCAAAAGAACAAGGTATAGGTTCTGAGTAGAATAAGAGAAACCTTGATTCTCAGACAAGAAGGCCTCTCAGTCCCCGACAAGTTTGCTTTCTCTGGAATTGAAATAAGAAATGCTGCTGAGTCCATTTTTCTTCTTTACCAGCTTTGGTTGGGGTGGTACTTTCACTCTTCAAAAATCCAGTAGATTTCAGGAAAAGAATTCTGAAGATTGTTGCATGCTGCTGCCCAGATATTCAAAAGCATAAATAACTCTTCTCACATTACCTCAAGAGGGACGGTGGGATCCCATTCTAGATGTCCCATCCTGTTTTTAGGGCTGCTAGAATACGTTAAGAATTTGAAATAAGTTAAAACAAATGTTTATGTCATTGGACTGCCTGTAAAAAAAATTATCACCTCTAATACCTGTAATTTTAAAAGATGGTAAGGTACCATAAAACTGGTTTAAAATAATTTGGCATGTCATAGAAGGCAGCTTTCTATTGACTTTGCCCAGAAGAACCATAACATTGAATGTAGATACAAGATCTTTGTGATTCTGTTGTCTAGCAGCAGCATATATTTTTTGGGTACTAAGCAGGAATGTCAAATGTTGCCTTTTTTCCTTGAGTGTTTTGTAGAAGCCATGATAATTGTAGAAGTGCTAAGTCTCTCTAGACCAATGATGGCGAACCTTTTCAGCACCAAGTGCCAAAACCAGAACGTGCGTGCATGTGTGTGCGCCAGAGCGCCGGAAACTTGAAGACCAGCTGGCCAGCATGCACCTGCCTGTTTTTTGGCCATATTTCAGGCTGTATTTCAGGCCATTTTTCGGGCCATTTTCAGGGCCAAAAACAGCACGGAAAACAGCCTGAAAATGGCCCGGAAAACAGCCTGGTTTTTTTACCGTTTTGGCCATTTCCAGTGCTCCGGTGCCCGTGAAGACCAGCTGGGGGTGGCGCAGATGCCCAAAGAGAGCGCTGTACGTGCCACCTTTGGCATGTGTGCCATAGGTTCACCATCACGGCTCTAGACCTTTGAAGCAAGAACTTCAATATTGAGAAATCTAAAGTCTAAGTTTGCAACTGCTGCTGTGCCAGATGCTGAAGACCTGGGGGTGGGGGGGAGGAATTAGCTAAAGTGTAATTTTAAATAGTTTGGATTTTTTTTCCTCTTCAAAATTTATTAACAAAAAAACGTGCCTCTGTGAGAAACCAACTTACAATATTTTATTTAGAGGTTAGATACTTGTTCCTTATTAAATTTGTAAACTTGAGAGGGAAAAAGTGGCCTTTGGAGTTTCCTCTGAAAACAATTGCACTATTAAACACCGTTGCCCAGATACGGGCATCTGTGCTGCTATATAATGCTGCTTTGTATACCTGGATTAAAGTGTGAAAATTTGACACTAAAACCCCTGCTGACTTTACAAAACTGTTTTATGTTGAAAGATTTCTAATGTTGCAAGAGCTCCATTAAATTCAGTGCATTGAATTTTTGTATCTGGATGTTGCATATGTACATGAATTGACTAAAACCTTTTTTTTTCCTGCATAAGGAGAAACATTAAATAAAGGAACATGAGCTTTCTTGGAATAATTGGTAATTCTGTTGCTGGAAGAGAGCCTAGAGTGAGTTATCTCCATTTGGCTGAATTGTTCCTCTTACACTGGGCTTCCATTTTGAGGATTATGTAATGTCTCTTCGGAGTTTTTACAGTCCAATTATCCTTTGAGTTCTTTCTTACGAATGCCAAAGACCATATTAATTCCTGCTTGCATTTAAAATATTTTTAATTCCATATAGGTAGTTCATGAGAATGGTTGATTTTGGAATCAGGATTGGAAGGGGCCTGGTCTAATTCCCTGACCTAGGCAGGAGACTTTATGTCATCCTGGACAATTTTTTCTTTAAAATCTCCAGCAATGGAGCAGCCACAATTCAGAGAGGCAAGCTGTTCCATTAATTGTTCTTCCAGGAAAGTCCTCCTTCCAGGTTGTATCTCTCTCTGACAAACTTCCAACAACTGCTTCTTGTCCTACCTCAGGTAGGAGTTGAAAATGATTTGATTACATGATCTGATTACTGTCAATCTAAAAACTCAGCTCCTTTGACAAGTCTATAATGCTGGAAAACCTATTTGTGAAGGTTCCCCCAATGTAAAATAACATTACCATTGGGTATAAAGAATTGGCTTTATATGATATCCTCTTATCCCCCAAAATAAGATCTCCCTAGATAATAAGCCCAATTGGGCTTTTGAGCACATGCACTAAAATAAGCCGTCCCCTGAAAATAAGCCTTCCCTACAAATATTGCAACACAGCAGCAGCCATGAGGTGACCACGCTCACCACTTCCTGCACCTCAAAAATAATACTTCCCTGAAAATAAGGCTAAGCGCTTATTTTGGGGATCAAAAGAAAATAAGACCTTGTCTTATTTTCGTGGAAACGTTATTGTTGTTTTAAAGTCTTAAAAGTTATCTGTAAGAAGCTGGTGGGTTTGTCTCCATGCTGTCAAGGGCAAGGCGGACAATGTAAAACTAAAAAATAATTTTATCCTTGAAACATTTAATTAACTATTAGTAGAGTAGCTGCTTGAACAGAATTAAAATTCCATTTAATTCCCCTAGTAAAAGGTTAAATACATCATTACTCCCAAGAAAATGTAACTCTGAGTCCATAAATTCCTAAGAGGCTTCTGTTGTAGACTAAAAATGATGTGCTGAAGTTGAGATTGTGCCAACCAATTTTAGACCAGCATGTTACACATATTTAAACCACATATGATATAGTATCTAAATTTGGATTGAATAAACTATAACATGGTTTATGCATATGAACTCAAGCCAATATAAAATAGAATATTTGCTACCTTAGCCAAAGGTGATAAACTGTCCCACCATTTAATACCAATTCCTGATACATTTTTAAGGCTACATAAAATCGGTGAAGTTTCTTTCCTTCTCCAAAGGAGCGGGTAAAAGGAAAAGGAGGCTTGTTTTACAGGCACTCACCACTCAAACGGTCCATATAAAAGTTAATATTTGAGCAGTTGAACTTTTTAAGCTGAAATCAGGATCTCCTATTTTCTATTGGTGAGTCTGAGAGTGGATCAGATCCCCCACAAAATGGCTGTGAGGTTAATCAAAGTCTGACGTGAAACCTGTTTCAAATGGTGTTGTGGCTCCTTCCCAGCATGCAATGCACTTCTGCCTCATTCATTTATTCATTCATCTGGGCAAATGTTACAGTTAAAGCAGCCTTCTCTTCTTCCCTTCAGTCATTTCCTGCTTTCCAAAAGGACCACTTTTCTAATAGTTTGGGACCTCCAGCTCTGAGACAATAACAATAACTAAAAAGGCTTCAGGTAAGCCACTAAACCAGCTTGCTCATATAGCAATCCACATTAAGTTCTAGTAAATACAGTTAAGGAAATCCAACAGCAAATAAAGGCAGTATCTGAGAGGATTTTATTACTAATACAAATATATAAGGACAGATTTTGCTGCTATACAAAATCACACATTTAAATTTAAAACAAGAGCACAGAACTCAGAGTCAATGTTACATAGTAGTACACAATTTTATAATCTTCTGGTTATGTAGTATTTATTTTTATATGGTTGTGCATTCCTGGCCAATAAGTAGTTTGCTTTATGGAAACAGGTAAATTTTATGGGGATGATTTTGTTTCTTAAACAAGTGCAAGCTTTTTTGTAATGAGAAAAAAAAATAGAAGAGATATTTACAAGTCTTTAAAATATTTCTAATCTAGATTAAGAAAAATAGCTGCATTTACAGATTAACCCTTCTGTACCTCAAGATGTTGAGTACAGAGAATCTCAATGCTCTATAGAGATAATACATTGATATTGCTATGCTAACGAAGAGGCATTTCTATATTTTAATTGCATCCCATTTTCTCTTTAAAAATATAAGCGAACCACCAAGCTACAAATATTTTTCAAGCATCCACTGGTATTTTTAGTCTCTTTTCTTTCTTGCTTAGTTTATCGGCTCTTTGTTGTGCAGCTCCATTATTTCCATTCTGAGCCTGTGTATATCGTGCCACGGTAGAAACACCATCCAAAAATTTGGTCTTGTACAATACATTTGCATTGTTGAACATACCATCCTTCAATGAAACTACAATAAACTGGAAGAAAAAACAGAAAAATCATGTTAAACTATTAAACTAGGCTTTCAGCTGAACCTAGCGTTATCTAACTAGTTATGAAACAGATAAAAAAAGTAAAAATAACCATGTTATCAAAATGTTAATGTACAAATTTTATCCAGACTAGACATCATCATAGCATGTGAAAACAAACAAGATACTTAAATAATACATATTCATGTATATATTTAAATTATTTGTATTTATACTTAGAGTTTGAAACACTCTCTAAAATGTTACCTTTTCGAGCCTCTGATTAAAAAAAAAAAGTTTGAAATAGTTCACAACTCTGAAAGTATCCTAGGACTATGCATTAGAAGAGTTAGCTATTTTGAAAAAAAAGGTCTCTAAAGAATGTCCAGTTTTTTATTTGGGATATTAGTAATTAGCAATTCTTCAACTTTGCTGAAGTAAAATAGCCGGCATGATAGTGAGAGAAAGTTACCTATACTTCTGTGCACCTTGAAAAAACATGCATTAAAAAAGCAGAGTCAACGAAGTGTAACTGCATAGATGGCCCTTGTTTAACAATTTGTTCAACAACTGAACTTGTGATGACAATGAATGAGTGGTATTTACAAGGTTCTGGCCATCTCACTGCCCTCCCCCGTTCATGTCATTGAGATCCAGATGTTCACCAATTGGCCCAGATTTACAATGGTCACACTTTTCCAGTCATGTGATCACAATTTGCAACCTTTCCTGCCGACTTTCCAATAAGCAAAGACATTGGGAAAGTTGGCAGGAATTTGGAAGTTATGATCATCTGGGGTCCTCACTTAACTGGTGAGGTCCTTGCTTAATGATGGTAGAGCAGTTGTTAAGCGGTGCAGACACATGACATTGTGCTTTTCCACCAATGAAAATTCCCATCCCAATTAGTATCCTTGAGAACTACTTGTAGGTGCTGACAAATGGCCCACTAATTTAAAGGCAAAGACCCTTTCAAATTAGGTACAAGGCTCTCAGTGATTCCATGGAAATATCCATGTAGTCTTCTCTACCACAGTATAAAACTGGTTTGCTACTTCAGCACTTTTTTGAACTCTGCAGTCTACAGGGCTGGGATTTCCTGTTGGTCTCACATTTAAGTTCCAATTAGATTTGACCTCATTAAACTCTGAGAAGCAAAAATAAAATAAATTCAAGAATCAACCAATGACTTATGGCCACTAAAATGAACTGTATGTTATGCAAATTGTCTTTACACAAAATGGATTTTTTTTTTTTTTGCCCATATATATAGTGGCAGACCACCAGAAGCTGAGAATAGGGGGAAAAAGGCATTTGTTTTATATGAATGACAACCTAGGAGAATAAGGGATCCAATTCTGGAGCAAAGACATAGGATCTGTTTGTCTGTAAAGCAAATTAATTCAGGAACAGATTTCCCCTAGGGTAAATAGAGAAAAGAAGAGTTTCAAAACTTGGTGCAGAAGATGCTTTTGGTAAATTGTTGATACCTGAGAGTGTCTGAAATGGGTCCGAAGCATCTGCCCAATATTCTGAGTATGTGAAAGATCAAGGGCGGCATCCACTTCATCCAAGATGTAAATGGGAGCAGGTTTGAAGAGAAGCATGGCCAAAATTAAGGACAAAGCTACAAGGGATCTAAATATATAATATATATTTTAAAAGAACCGTACAAAAATAAAATCCCATCAGTATGCTAACATCAAACAAAATGCCTTGCTTTTTATCAGCATAATTTGTCAAAACAAAATTCTTGCAGCAATTTTAAGAATCACTCTTTTTTCATTATATCTATCAAGCTGAGCTCTTGATAAGATTCTAATTTTTAAATTTCTCCTTTATACTTTTGCTCCCTTTCCTCTTTGTATGCAGAATAAATTTTATTTCATTCTTACTCTGAGTGTACTGTTTAACTCCTGGTGACATTAGCAATTTGTCACTGTAAAAATAGGCATAGGAACCCTTTTTAAAAAAATGTTCACGGTTATCCAGAAATTTACAAAGTATGAGGCACAGTTTGAAGCTGGATTTCATGTTGCAAATAAATGTACATTCTTCCAGGAATAAATATTAGATTTAAAACACCTATCAAAACAACATATTCCACCCTGTAGTTAAAGATAGAAAATGTTCCAGTTTTTGTTTTACTTCATTTACATATCATTCAATCCTGAAGACCTTCAACCAATAATAATAATAATATATATTATGGTTCAGGTACCCATTATCTTCTTGGAAGTAATCCTCCTTAAAACATTTTTGTTCTTTCTCTGGACTTAGGCATTTTATATTTGTTGCACTCAAAATACCCATGTTCTTTGCATGCTTTTGGATAAATGCTAGAAGAATTAAAAAGAAAAACTTCAAGCCAGAGTTGTCTTATTTTGTTTATTCTTTTTTAAAAAGTACTAACCTTTGGCCTCCACTTAATTCAGTTAAATTCTCCTTCCAAGTGTTCCCCAGGGCAACTTTAAACTCCAAACCATCAAGGACTGACTGCCCTTCAGGAGGTGACAGCATAGCATTGGCTCCTGGCAGAAGGGTGGAAAAAATGGATCCAAAGTCTTCATTTACCTAGAAAATTGTACATTTATGTCATCACAGAAATTAATTTGCATCCAAGGAATATCATGGAATCGGACGATTCAAAATTGTAGACCATTTTAGCCTAGCAATATTATGTGAATTGATTCTTGCTTCTCAAATAGGGTTTCCTCTTACCCCTGGGCCTAAATTATTCCTTCAAATTTGATTTGTGGGTGTTTAAGAGGAGTTGAATCCACTAGCAGAGATGTTCGAGACCATGTGAATGATTCCTGCAGTCTTTCCAAAAGTGGTGATGTCACTTTATTAAATATTTGGAGAATAATTATTTTAACCATACCTAGTTTTTACTAAAATGAAAGAAAATCTATTTTTGGTCTTGATTTCTCTGATTTTTTGGAATGCAGTCCCAGCACATCAATGATTACTCAAAATGAGGCTACAAGACACCCAAATGTGTATTCCTGCATTTGTAGGCATCATGTAATACAATTAATAAAGTCAGTAGATGATGATTCCTTGTTCACATAATTTTGTTGGACTGGACCTCTGGGCATGGTAGGTGGGATGGTAATTATCAGAGTAGTACATCTTAATTAATTAAGGATGTACCACTCTGGATAAAATTAAAGAGAGACTTGAGAGACCGCCTCCTGCCAATTACCTCCCTGCGACCGATTAGATCGCACAGACTGGGCCTCCTCCAAATTCCATCTGCCAGTCAGTGTCGACTGGCAACTACACNAAAAACATGTTTTTTGTCAAAAAAAAATATGCTTGCATAGCCTTATGGAGGCTTATAAAGTGTTGTTGAGGGCTGTGGGGGGTAAAAAATGGCCCATTTTTTGCTCATTTCTGCCCTCTCCACCCCCAGAAACTCTCTGAAAGCCTCCATAAGGGTATGCATGGCCATTTTGGTGAAGGGGCGGGGCTTCGTGAGGCAAAAAATGCTGTATTCGATTTATAAGACGCACCCAGATTTTCAGCCTCTTTTTTGAGGAAAAAAGGTGCATCTTATACTCCGGAAAATATGGTATTTTATTTGCTTAAAATGTTTTAAGTTTTTGGTTCAAAGCCAAGTTTTCTTCCTAAGCAATATTTATAGGTTGTAATTCAAGACAGTAACATTTTTATAGTATTTACAACTGTTTTCTCTTCTCACCAATGGTTTTTTTCAGGGCATCCAGTTCTTCCTGATGCTTGTGATAAGTGCTTTGCTGTAACTTGGTTTGTAAGAGGTCAGCTTCTTCAGATTTCATTTCCCATTGTTGCTTCAGTTGATGATACCTTAACAGATGTAATGATTTAAGCACATATTTATATTCCACCAACAAAGCTTTTATACATTTGAAAACGGTTCATGTTATTTTCTGATTATGAACATAACGTTCCAAAATGATGCACAGCCTGCTTTAATTTTGTCAGATTTATAATCAAGAAGACACATAATAATATTATTTGATAAGGGTGCACATAGTTCTCTTAGTTTTCAAAAGCAAAACTTTCATAGGCAGTCCTCATTTAATGACTATTTGTTTAACGACTATTCATAGTTATAGCACTCGATTAATTAGTTATGGCCAATCCTTGAAATTACAGCTATAGCAGTGACCCGGCAATCATGTCATTAAAATTAGATGTTTAGCAGCCCATTTGCATTTGAGTGTAGGAGACACTTTTGACAACCCCCACCCACTTCCCTCAATATCTGCCCATTTGGCTATCCTGTGTTCTGCTTCTACCCCCAGCTGGCCTTCACTATCTTCTTCCTCCTGCTGATGCTGTCCCTTTATAAGGCCATCCGCTGCATTACAGAGGCCGCATGAGTCCTTGCCTTGTCCAGGCACACGTCATCAACAGCAGGAGGAAGAAGGCAGTGAAAGTCAGCTGGGGCCAGCAAGGAGTGGCAGAGATAGGCAGTGGTGGGTGAGGGGGCAGCCAAAGGGCAAAGATGGGGATGAAATGAAGGCGAGTATGGAAAGGCAGGAGAGGCCTGGCATCGTTGCCTAACAATGGTGGGGTCTTTGCTTAATGACTACCAGGACTGATGTTGCTAAGTGGGGCAGCCATGTAACTTTTAGCTTAACGACTGTACCACTTAGCAAGTGGAAATTTTGGTCCCAATAAGAGTTGTAACATGAAGACTACCTATATACAAATTTAATCTTTTTATAGATTTTTGTCTAGAGGAGATCCAACTTTTTCATGTATTAATTTATAAAAACCAATGATACTGAACTAACTTCCTTCCTATTCCCAGAGTTCCTGAATAAATAAAATAAATTGGTCGGTGCATACTTTTCAAGAGTCACCTGTAGACTTGCTATCTCTTTTCCCGTCGCCTGTAGCTCAGCCTCTTTTGCTTTCAATTCATCTTGCACTTCTTTCATTTCTTGAAGTTTGGACAAAACTGAAGCAGCCTGAGACCGGGCACCTGGTTTACAAAAGACAGAATTGCATACATGAAAACTAGGTCAAATATGTGTTCCAGTATTACTTATTTGTTCAAATCCCGGCACATAAATCTTTTGGATTCCAGACAAATGTCATAATACTGAATCTGTGATACCTGGGCAACATAAATTCTCACAGCATCTGACTGCAATGATACATACAAGATGATATTGGTGGATTATGAAGATCTTAGAACGATCTATCCAAGAGTCTGTAGAGATTCTCAGTCATCCAGGTCATGGTTGTGTCAAAGATGCTTTTTCAGGAAGCAAGTGGACTTGTTCTTTTTTCTTTTGAAGATATTTCACTTCTCATCCAAGAATCTTTTTCAGCTCGGACAGGATAGCGGGGAATGAATGATTTATATTCCCCTTTCAGACAGGTGATCATTTGCATCTTTTTAGAGGGCCATTGAAGCATTTGGAGGTTTATCTGTGTCCTCAGGGTCAACTGAGTAGTGCTCTTGGTTCCTTGTAGTCTGCCATTTTTCCTCTGGAAATCCATTCCTACTCGCATTCAAAGGGCGTTCATCCCGAATTGTATAGCTAAAAGTCTGTAGAAATAAAAGTCCAAGTGCTTCCCTGCCCTCCAAAAGGATACAAATGACCAGCTGTCTGCAAGGGGAATATAAATCCTTCCATTCTCCACTATCCTGGAGAGCTGAAGAGCTGAAGAAGCTTCTTGGATGAGAAGCGAAACGTCTTCAAAAGAAAAAAACAAGAAAGTCCAGTTACCTCCTGAAAAAAACACCTTTGGGACGATCTATCCAAGATCCTCATAATAGGTTGGTCACACAGGTGAATTTACACATGTAGGTTTTGGACAAGCAGATAAATGTAGTTCAGTAAAAGAAAACTCGATATTTTCCTTAAATATAACAGAGACTTGTCAAAAAGTGTACTGTAGTAAGGAATAGAAAATTAGCCAGTACCTCCACTCAGTGTGCCCTGAGGATCAAACGTGTCTCCACCTAGAGTGACTGTTTTTGTCATTATCCTTTTGTCAAAGGTGACTCTCTTGGCATTATCCATGTTATCGCAAACCAAGGCCTGCCCAAAGACATACTCCATTGCCTTTTGGATTTCAGAATCATAGCCCACCAGGCTAAGGGCCAGATTAACATTGTTATCACCAACCTAGTACAAAAAGAGAAAGTGCAAACTTCAGGAAAAGAAGGCCTGACTCAGGATTTATTTTTTCCTAAATTCTATGATATAAGAAAAGTGTATAGAGATTTGTTTTCAGCTTATGGTCATTACATCATAGTCTGCTGCTGGTCAGGCAGAAGCTACTTATGAACATAGACCAGACTGCATCCTAGTGTGGTAATTGGGATATACAAAACGCAGCATTGAAATTTGATGTCAAGGAAATCTGTTTGCCTCCTAGAATGTCTCTGTTGTGGGCCAGTCCTGAAGGCTGAGGAAGGCTTCGACGAGGGCTCTGCATTGGAGGCAGAGATGGGGCCAAGGCCATCTGGCAGTTTTTAGCTGCCTTCAGAGTTAGACAGCAGTGAAGCAGAGGAACAGGTGGAGCCTGTTCCCAGTGTGTGCATGTGGAGAGCTGTCAGAAGAAAAGGACAGTTAAGAAATCAGGGTCAACTTGAGAGTAAAGCCACAAGTGGATGGTGAATGGCCCCTCCAATAGGAAATAAAAGAGGAGCCAAAGGGGAGTGGGCTTTTGCAGGAAACAATTCATTCGTTCGTTCATTTGTTTCAGGAGTGTGAAGATCTATCCATCAGAGACTCTGTGCCAAGTCTTTCCTTGCATAGCACTGCAGATAAGATCTGTGGTCATAAATTCACCTTTAAAAGACTGTTTACCAGGCCTTTGCTGAATGTGAATGAGGAATTCACATTCATTTAATAAAAGGAGTTTTGTTGGGACCAGGATTCTGCTTCGTGATTTTTTGTGGAAGAGTAGGTCAAAACAGCCTCATATTCCAAATCCTGCAAACCATTTTCTCTTCTGGAATATTTATTTATGGGAAATTACAATGTCTTTGTAACAAATGGATGATAATATTCCAAGAGAAAAATGAAAAATTCCTCCCTAAAAATAATGCATTTGCGCTGAGTGGTAACTGCAACTCCCAGCATTCAATGCTGATTGTGAATTCTGGAAGTTGTGATCCCCACACATCTGGGCAACGCTATTTGGAAAGGGTTAGTGAACTCCATCTATTTTATTCTCAAACCTACCACTGCTAAGATAATCACTTTGCAATTGAAATATTAAATTTAATATCATTAAAATAAAATTACACTTTGATGGAGATATGTATTAAGAAAAATAAAGAACAAGAAAATACATATTAAAAAATAATTGTCTGGTTCATAACAACATGCAGAAAGCCGAGAAAGAGAATTTTTTTAAAAAAACTTCTCAGTATAGAAATATGTTCAAAACCTCCACAAAAGAAAATATACCAAGGTTTTGGCCACTTTGATAGTTTCTTTTCCAATACATCTTGATGAAATTTTATTCAGTGGAATAATAGTATATCGACGTTTCAGTTCCCCTTTTTCTAACAGCTTTTTTCCAGTAACCTAACAGAAAAGAATTTAAAAAATCACATATTTGCTAATCCATTTTATCTCCAGCTACTACTGCTAAACTTATTACAAAATATATAGTGTTAAAACATGTCTTTCAATTTTTATTATGATTCATCTAATTTATCATTAAAAACTATATACAATATTATATACATTGTACAGGTAGTCCTCAAGTTAAGACCACAATTTGGCCCAAAATTTCTGCTGCTAAGTGAATCAGTTGTTAAGTGAATTTTGTCCTATTTTACAACTTTCCTTGCCACAGTTAAGGGAATCAAAGCAGTTCTAAAGTTAGTAATATGGTTGTTAAATGAATTTGGCTTCCCCATTGATTTGGTTTGACGGAAGGTCTCAAAAAGTAATCATGTGACTCTGGGACACTGCAATCCACATCATAAATATGAACCAGTTGCCAAGCATCTGAACTTTAATCACATGACCATGGAAATGCTGCAACGGTCTTAAGTGTGAAAAATGGTCATAAGTCACATTTTTCAATGCCATTGTAACTTTGATGAGAATTATCTATATATTTTTCTCACACACAAACTCTGTCTACACCCAAGGATGTCAAACTGGTGGCACACAGACCAGATGTGTCATGCACAGGCCACTCCCACCCCAGCTCCGCAAAGGGACAAAACATCACAAACATGAGTGTGACGCCATACGTTGACACCGTTGGTCTATACAAATACTATACAATAAAACCTCTGGTCACAACTATAATTCGTTCCTTAACTTTGGTCGTAAACAGATTTGGTCGAGGCCTAAACCTAATTTTGGAAATTTGACGCTTACAAAAAAAAATGGCCCTGAAGAGAAAATCGGCCGCAAAAAAAAATATGAGAATTTTTTGGTCAGAACCCGATTTGGTCATGGTCAGAAGCGTTTGTGACCAGAGGTTCTACTGCATGCAAGTTATTAAATATAGTTTAAATGGTCATCTTAAATATTGCAAAAATAATACAATTAAGAAATGAGAACTCTTTTTTAATTTATCAGAATCATATGCTTAAGCAATTACAAGTATATCATTCAGATACACTCGTTAATACAAGTCTAGCTCCTATTTGCTATTAGATCTGTATTTGGTTTGCTGTTAAACAATTGAGAAAAGACCAGAAGTGATATGTTAAATAACATCTTTGAGAAACGCACCTCAGTGTCCACCACAACATTATAAAGTCGACCACCAGCCACTACTTCTAGTGCTGTTGCTGTAGAAACATCTTTCACAGTAATCAAAGACGCAACCAGTCCTTTCACACGATCTGCATTCCAGTTTGTTTCTGGATTTCTTGAAATCAATTAAGAAATTGTTTTGTGAGAATACATCAATGCTTTTAGTATGTATATTTCATTGATACTAAATAATATAGTGAAATCTCTTGCGAAAAGACAGAATGTTTCTTCCCAGTTTCCAAGTTCAACTGTAAAACATTTTAACATAATTCTTGTCCGGGAACAGAAAATACAATTTAATGTTCTGTAGTTTCACCTGTAATCAAAGCGTAGATTGGGGAACCTGGCCAGGAAAGTTTCATAGGATTCCCTCAAACGATTTACCACACGGGATAACTCCTTTTGCTTTTCTAAAAGACGTTCTTCTTTTTTATCTGGAACAGACAAGGAATAAATAACATTAGGATTCAGAAGAAGCTGATTAGACAGAAACATAACCTGATATAGAAGCTACCTAATATAAAATGTGCAAAATGGGCACCATCCAGAGGTGGTATTCAACGGATTCTGACCAGTTCTGGAGAACCAATAGNAGTCCCCTCAGGGAAAAGGGCGGCCTATAAGTATTAATAAAATACTAAATACTAAATAAATACTAAATACTAAAATTAAAGGACTAAAGGATGAAACAAGGTATGATCTTGAGTCTGTTTTAAAATCTTTGGACAGGAAGCATTGAGACTTACTTTTTTCCATGCAATATTTAAAGCTTCATTTTTCTTTTGGTCAAGCTCCATAATTGTTGCAAGAATTTTAGATTTATCATTCTCAACAATTCTCTTCTTCTTCATCAAGTCATTGTACTATACAAGAGGAGAATCAGGATTAGGCACAGGATATACAGGCTAATGATATGCAAGGAATTGTTTTTGACTAATCTAGGAAAGGATCTCTGTCAATCTTTCTTGATATCACTGTTATCTATCAGAGAAAACCAGTTTTTGTAAATGCCTATCAGGCTACCATTGATTTACCATTTGACATGAAATTAATTTTCATGTTTGCATAGGCATTCACTGACAGGATTACTGATGAATGCCTACAATGAATTGCATGTGCAAAAACCACCTAGATGGCCAAATGAACAAAAAAAAACCATGTTACTTCCACATTACTCAGAGCAATGCTAGAAATGATACACAAATCTTCTCCAATGTGGTACCCTCCAGATATTTCTAATTTCTACCATATGCCATCTAGGGATTGTGGAAACGTGATTGCCCAGATTTGGGAAATGTTAGATTAAGAAGACTCTTGTTTATGGTAACATGGAGGGGTAAGGGTGGGCAGTGAAATAAGAGCAACTCAACTCTTTCTTCAGCTTCTGAAAGCATATTCATGGCTCTCATGTTGACATTCCTGCCCAGCTTCTCCTTCTTCTCCTGCAGTTTCTGAAGCCTCTGACCAGCTTCCTTTGGATTATTGGTTTTGAAATCATAAGCCGTGTTTGGCTGGCCAAAAAGATGTTTCTCTGAAGATATCCATTCATAGTCTGCAAGCATCTTAGAAACCTGCCAATATGCATAAAAGGAACAAGCAGAAAGCATTTGGAAATGTAAATCAATGCACAAATCAGCTGCGATGTTATCAGCATGGAAGCCTCTAGATTGCACGGTGCGGCACACAAGTCGAAGTTTCAAAACCCACACCATTTTTGCTGCAACTTTCTGGTGAACTGAAATAATTAAAAAGATTTTGCTATTCCTTTCTCTGTTTGCCTGTTTTGAAAAAAATATCTTTCTGCATCATGCAAATATGAACAATATGAATTGTGACATAAAACCAGATAGTCTTTATTGGATGTCCCATGTACCTGTCACTGTAGGAAAAATATTTGAGTAGCATTAGGGGTTTAAAAGTACACCGTCCTGGCCTTGAAAGAGGCCATTCTGAATGTTCCAGTTACCAGAATCAGCCAGGAGCTTCAGACTTGACGTCATATATATATTGAGACCTGAAACACGGAGGAGAGCCTTTTCTGTTGCAGCTCCGACCCTATGGAACGATCTCCCCGCTGAGATCCGTACCCTCACCACCGTCCAGACCTTCCGCGCAGCCCTCAAGATCTGGCTCTCCCAGCAGGCCTGGGGATAGGTTCCTAATTCACCCGCCCGAGTGTTTGATTGTTGAACGAAAGTTGTGTTTTACTATTTTTTTTCTTTGTTCACATTTTGTTTTGTTTTTGATGCTGCACTTCCCTCCCTTGTGATTGTAAGCCGCCCTGAGTCCCCTCAGGGAAAAGGGCGGCCTATAAATTTTAATAAATGAAATGAAATGAAATGAAAATGAACAGCCCATTTTGATGTTAAGAATGCACCATGGAATATTTTGTGCACACCTAAGCAACAGCATCTTTCCAAGGTAATAAAGATGCAATTCCTCAGACTTGGTTTAGTATTTTATCTGCTTCCATAAATGGAGTGTTCACTGATTTGGCTACACAATTACAGGTGTTTCCCAGTCAGGTAACAACATGAAAATATAAACAATTTTATGTCAAGAAATACACTTTAGTGGTTGAGGTTCATAAAAGGAAGTCCAATCTGGTGTGGGAGGTGACCCTAGATTTAAATATAAGTATAATGAAATTGAATAGAACTAATATGAAATATCTCCTCATGTATTTAAAAAAATATTCCTTTCAGTCATAATTAAAAATTGCACCATAATATGGTGGCAACTATTGGAAGATTGTGTGTAACTGCAAGTTCTGTACCAAATTTGGGGATATGCTTTGAGATATTTGAGGGGCAAGTTTTTATTGACATGAAATATTAACATTATGAACTATAATTGTTGGCAGGGAAATAGATGTAACATTAACTTACTTTTGCTGAAGCATCCAAAGCCTCTCGCTTGTGTTTATTGATGTTGTGCTCTAGCTCTTTAATTTTAAGCTGCGATTCATTATTCTGTTCTTTATATTTTACGGCTTCTGCAGATTTGCCTTTAATTGCTTTATCTTGAGCTAGCACCATCTCTTTTTGCTTTGCCAGTTCTTCTTGTGCTTTCTTCACAGATTCCTGAAGAAGAGATATAACAGAAAGCTCCCCAGTCACACTACCACTAAACTAAAGGATAGGTCATTTTTTTTTAATTTTTAAGTTTAAATCTAAAAGACTGCAAGAAATTGAATTAGCTAGCTGGAGGTTCTGTGGGAGGCCCATTTAGAGGACAGGACCTCTACTCAGTGCCGTATATGAAGTATAGACCAATTTCTGATAACTACAGTAAGATTTGCCAACAAGATACTTAGGGCATAATGTGTTGTTCACTATGCAAGACTGGAAGCATTTAATATTGGAAAAGCTCCTCCCACCCCACCCCCCAAAATGTTCTGTGTTCTAGGTAAGGCATATTTGGTTAAGAGCCAATTTGGTCTACTTGTTAAGGCACCGGGCTAGAATTCTAGTCCCGCCTCAGGCATGAAAACTGACTGAATGACCTTGGGCCAGTCACCATCTCTCAGTCCAACCCATCTCACAGGGTTGTGAGTTGCAATAAAGGAATTAATTAATTAATTAATTCAGTATTTATTTTAGTAGTTAGAATGAGACTAACCTTATTTTTTGCTACCTCAGCTGATATGGTCTCAATTTGTTCTTGGAATGATTTAATGGCTTCATTCACAGCCTCTATCTGTTGGTCATAGGAGGCTGCTTCCTGTTTTAGTTCTTGAAATTCCAAAACAAGTGCTTCAACCTCCTAAAAAATATAATGCAGATATTAACAATATAATCTTATTCACATCTAAGAGTGAGTGCTGCCGAGTACAAAGGGGTGTCTATATTAGTATTTAAAGGTTTGAGCTGCATAAATAATTATTGAAGCTAATCGTATGGTGTGGTATAAATTTGGATCTCAGGGAGGAATTACATTTTGTTACATTAATGCAGGACTTCACTTATAGTTTCAGTTTCTTGTTCCATTATCTAAGAAGGATTTTTCGTATCTCATATCGGGACCATGTCACAAACGAGGAAATTCTACAAAGGAGTAATTCCCAAAGACTCTCTGACATAGTGGCCGAATGAAGAATGCGCTTTGCTGGACATGTTCTCTGCATGAGTGAGCAACATCCAGCAAAGACCATAATCAATTGGATACCACCAGATAGTCAGAGAAAAAGAGGAAGTCCAAAGAAAACCTGGCACCAAACATTTCAGGAAGATCTGAAACATATAAGCCTTAAATGGAAGGATGCAGAGACTGTAACTGCAAACTGAAAACTGTGGAGTACGCTTGTAGACCAATGTGCTTAGACAGGACATCACCATCATCACTCCCAAGCTCCGTTTTTGCTGGCAGAGGGTTGCAGGAGGCCATCACAACTGAAAACACAGCTGGGAAGCCTGATTTTGCTGGCAGAGCGCTCAGTTCACCAGAGTCACCCCTGATATGAGTGATGTCAAACTGGTCCTGCCGACCCTGGCCACGCCCACCCCAGCCCTCCAAGGTCAAACACAAGTCTGATGCGTCCTTCAATGAAATTGAGTTTGACAATCCTGGTATAGGGCTGAAATGCTCAAGCAGAAGGTTGGACTAAAAGACCTCCAAGTCCCTTCCAACTGTTCTTCTGTTCTATTTCAAAAGATGACACAAAGTACCAAACAGAGCTGCTCTTCCTTCAGCATAAATTCCTTCAGAAATTTAACCACAAATAAAAAGGTAAAGGTTCCCCTCACACTTATGTGCTAGTCATTCCCTACTCTAGGGGGCAGTTCTCATCTCCGTTTCAAGGCCAAAGAGCCAGCGCTGTTCAAAAACGTCTCCGTGGTCATGTGGCCAGCATGANAGAAATTTTGAATAGTTTGGAGAACCGATAAATACCACCTCTGACTGGCCCCGCCCCCATCTATTCTCTGCCTCCCGAGTCCCAGCTGATCGGGAGGAAATGGGGATTTTGCAGTAATCTTCCCCTGACACGCCCACCAAGCCATACCATGCCCACCAAGACACACTCACAGAACCGGTAGTAAAAAATTTTGAATCCCACCACTGGCACCATCTGTTACGAATTCATCATATATTCTAGCTCATATAGATGCCACATCACACACCTATGTACTGGTAGTCCTCGACTTACAACAGTTCATTTAGTGACAGTTCAAAGTTACAACGGCATTGAAAAATGTGATTTATGACCATTTTTCAGTTAAGACCTTTGCAGCATCCCCATGGTCACTTGATCAACATTCGGTTGCTTGGCAACTGGTTCATATTTATGACCATTGCAGTGTCCCGGAGGGTCATGTGATCACATTTTGCGACCTTCCAACAAGCAAAAGCAATGGGGATGCCAGATTCACTTAACAACTGGGTTACTAACTTATCAACTGCAGTGATTCACTTCACAACTCTGGCAAGGAAGATCGTGAAATGGGTCAAAAGCCACTTAACAAAGGTCTCACTTTACAACAGGAATTTGGGGCTCAATTGTGGTCTTTTGTCGAGGACTACCTGTGCTACTGTTAGTGTAGAAGATGTTCAAATTGAGCCTGGGGTTATTGTCCTCCAAGTAAGCAGCAATTTGTCTTGTACAATGTGTAAAACCAAACCCCTCTGTTCGAGAAAGAAACAAACCTTCATAGTTGAGCTCCTTCATTTCGTGTTCAAGTTTCTCTTTCTGCTTCTCAGCTGCTTCAAAGGATTCTTGATCTTTCTTGTAGCCACCATCCATTTTTTTTACTTCATTTTGTTTAGTCTTTAGCTCTTGCTGCGCGTGTTTCAGTTTCATCTGAGCCTTAAAAAAAAAAGAAATGTTTAGTGTGAAGTTAGGATTCAAATGTTTTACTTTGGAATGAAGTTAACTTTCCTAGAAACAGTCATAAAAAAGTAAGCATTGTGAAGATTCTGCCTTTATATGCACCAAACATCTTTACAAAGGCAGGGAATGTTGGCCATTTAAATGGATAAAACTGTCAAAGGAAGATGGTTCTGACTGTAAAGAGCAGAACGGGAAAACCAGAAACCCCTTGAAACATAAAAATGAGCCTGAAAATGTCAGCTCTGCCCTCTCTACAGATATCTTTATGAAGGATTCCCCAGAAATAGGAATGGTTGCCCCCAGGTCCCAAAAGTTTATCCAGTCTGGTAGGGAAACAATATTTCATGCAAAGATATCTTATAATAGTTGAAGGTAAGACAAGAGCAAATCTGGGCCACAGAAAAGAGTTATATCCTAATCCTAAAAATAGGAAGATGTGCAAAACATCTTATATACCAGTGATGGCCAACCTTTTTGTCATCTTGTGCTGAAAATGTGCGTGCACACCCATAATGAAATGCATGTGTGACATACACACCCCGCATGCCCTGTGTATTCAAATGCAACCCCCTTATGTGCACTCCGCACATCGCACGTGACTCTCCCATGTGCCTCGCCCCCACACATGCGTGCATGACTCCCCGCGCTCCCGCGCTCCCTGGGCATGCACGCACAACCTCCCTGTCAGCCTCCGCTTTGCTGCTGCTTCGGCTGCCATTGAAACGGGGAGGTGGGGCATGGTATTTGGGAGGGGCCTGATTGTTGTGCTGGAGGAAGATTCTACAGTTTGAACTGTCCACCTTACTGCGCATGTGGAGGAGGTTTCCCGCCAAGGCTAACGGAACAAGCATTCCATCCTGGTGATGCCTTTTGAAGTTATCTCACACCTGAC